TCCCAAGCCTTACCCGAAAGGTTTATGCAGTGGAGGATATTGAAGTGATCTTTCCGGAAAAATCTTAGGGTCAATTCAGTGTCTGAGGTCACTTCACAGCACTTTTCAAACAATGCTTTGGTGTGCATTTTTTTGAAGTTTGAAATGACCTCCTGGCCCATGGGCTGGAGGAGAGGAGAGTGGTATTAGGGAGCAAAAACTTCACTGTGATGAAACGAAACTCCTGCACCATTTGCTCTTCAAAGTCTGGAGGATGAAATGGAGCATTGTCCATTACCAGGAGGGACTTGAGTTCCAATTTATTTTCCAGGAGGTATTTCTTCACACTGGGGGTCAAACACTTAATTGAACCAATTGAGGAAAATGTCCCTCGTGACCCATACCTTACTGTTAGCCTTCCACATCCCTCAAATTAGCCTTGGTGACCCTTTTTTTTTAAAACGCTGGGATTTTCAGAGTGATACACCAGTAAAGGCTTTACTTTGCAATCCCCGCTAGCACTACTAGAAAACGTAAGAGCTAGCCTGTCTTTCATAGGTTTGTGTCCTGGCAATGCTGTTTCCTCCTTCGTGATGTAGGTCCTCTTTGGCATTTTCTTCCAAAACGAGCCTGTTTCATCGCAATTGAATACCTGTTGGGGTTTGAATTGTTCAGTCTCTGTACCCCTTTAATTCCTGAAAATATTTTTCAGCCGCTTTTTCGTCAGAACTGGCAGCCTCGCCATGCCTTACCACACCGTGTATGCCACTATGCTTCTTAAATCTCTCAAACAAGCCTTTGCTGGCCTTAAAATCACAAACAGCATTGTTGGAGGCATTCTTTTTACCAGATCATCATGCAACTGCCTTACCTTTTCACAAATTATTGACTGCATAACACTATCTTCTGCTAACTGTTTTTGGGTAATCCACACCAACAATATCCTCTCCACTTCTTCAAGGATTTGAAATCTCTCTTTTTGTCAGCATGTCTACCCCTTTTGCAACAACAGCTTCCTTGATTTCCTTTCCCTTCGCCATGATCGAAGTGATGGCTGAATGGTGTTTGCCATACATCCAGACAAGCTCTGAAACATGCACTCCACTTTCATATTTTTCAATTTCTTTCTTTCTTTAATTCAATTGTGTTCCTCAATTTCTTTACCAAAGGGCTGGCATTAGATTTCTTTGGGCCCATGGTGACTTCTTTAGCAGTTACAAGCACAAAAAAAACAATGGATTATTATGAAATGTATCACATGAACCCTTGGGGTGATGGTCACTCTGATAAACATTGCCACAGCGTGTGAATGGTGCGGAAGTCTGGCTTTGTGCGCACGTTGATGCTGGGATGCCGTTCGGACGCATACCAGATGTTTGCCAAATCTTGAGGTCAGTCATGAACCACGAGGCTATGTTTTGCCGAAAAAAAATTGCTGAAAGTCGGATTTCATGAAAGTTGTGGCTACCGAAAGGCGGGGGTCCATTGTACTAGTCTTTTTATTAGTATTATTGACATCATTAGTATTAAAAAATTAATTTGTTTGCCAGTAGACTATAACCTAATATATTAAGCCTACCAGTTACTGCCTCGTGTGGTCATTTACAATTGTTAAGATAAGATTTCGTTCGGATTTTTAACCCTGGATGGTTAGCCACCCAGGATAACCCAAGAAAGGCAGTGCGTCTTCGAGGACTGTCTTCTTTCCATTGTGGTCCTCAATTTTGTCTCCTCAGGATGCGACCCACACCAGTCGACTAACACCCAGGTACCTACTTGCTGGTAGGTGAACAGGACAACAGGTGTAAGAAAACATGTCAATGTTTCTACCCTGCCGGGAATCGAACCTGGGCCCTCCATGTGTAAAGCGAGAGCTTTGCCATGGGGGTTACTATTTTTTTTATAGTAAACCAGTAGGTGGCATACAATGGGAGGTAATGATCTATTGCAATGGACTCTTGATTCAGTTCCTTGAATCAAGAGCCCTTCACTAGCATTAAGGAACTCTCCCTTTAAAAGGAGTAAAATCAGATTTGACTTACAAGATTTTTTTTGTTACTAAATTTAAATTTACAGTGGACTCTCAGATTATGACATTAATCTATTCCAGAGAGCGTGTCTTTAACCGAATCTGTCATAATCTGAATTAATTTTCCCCATAAGAATTAATGGAAATCCAGTTAATCTGTTCCAGGCACCCAAAAGTATTAAACAAAATAATTTTTTTCACATGAAATAATAATAATAATAATTTTCTTTCTTTGTAAAGGTTACATTGTGCAATTACAATTTTGATTTGCTAAGTACAAAGATAGCCACTATCATGCCGAGGCATTTCGGCAAACTAATCCTAATACATAGTAACTAATTAAAATTAGGTAAGATAATAGTACATAGTAATTATTATTTAAAACTAAACACACAATAGTTGTTAGCTGTTTTACAATCTTTATTTGGACTTCATAAATCTTATCTATACTTAGTACAAAATCTAATTTACAAGAAATGGTGCAGGTGGTAATATTTTATGGAATGGCAGAATTAAAAGCCAGGAGGTCATTGATAAATCTAGCCAGTAGATGTTTGGTTGACTTAGTTAATATTGTGAGATAAGATTATTTTTTAGCAGAGTTCTAAATTTATAAGTTGTCTGGGGATCCTTGGCTTGTTCCAGTAGTGATTTCCAGATCTTTGGGCCTTTTATGTGCACAGCATTCTTGCATAGTGAGAGGTTTACTCGAGGGATGTTGAAAAGGGCCTTATGCCTTGTATTGTGACTGTGCATTCTGTTGTAACTGTCGAGGAGTAGTTTTAGGGGAGGGTTTAGAGTGGAGTTTAAAGTTCTGTATATGTAGTAGGCACAATAATAAAAGTGTATGTTTTGTATATTAAGCAAGTTGTCTTGAAAAGTGGTGGGGTGTGCTGTCTAGCACAGGAGCTGGTTATCACCCGCACAGCAGCTTTTTGTTGGATTATTAAGGGTCTAAGGTGGTTGGCTGTGGTTGAGCCCCAGGCACAGATACCATAAGTGAGGTAAGGATATATTAGAGAGTGGTACAAGGTAAGGAGAGTCGTTTGTGATACATAGTAGCGTATCTTGGAAAGGATTCCTACTGATTTGGAAATTTTCTTGGCTATGCGATGGGTGTGGGACAGAAATTTAAGATTACAGTCAAGGAGAAGACCTAGAAATTTGCCCTGTGTGTGTCTTGATATAGGGGAACCATTTAACAGTATGTTGAGTTGAATATTTGAGGGTCTGTTGCCAAACAGCATGAAGTAAGTTTTTTCTATGTTAAGTGTGAGTTTGTTGGTCATCATCCAAGCATATATCTTTAGCAGTTCATTGTTTACAGTGTTTTCAAGCACAGTTTGGTCTGAATGGGAGTATACATATGTAGTGTCATCTGCGAATAGAACTGGTGTAAGGAGTTGGGATGCATTGGGAGATCATTGATGTAGATGAGAAAGAGGAGTGGGCCTAGGACACTACCTTGGGGTACTCCTACAGCTACAGGTTGGATAGCGGAGTTGACTCCATTTGCATGCACATACTGGTGTCTGTCGTTAAGATAGAATTTTAGGTAGTCTAGAGAATGTCCTCTTATGCCCTAATGATACAGTTTGAGGTGCAAGAGATTGTGGTCAGCTGTGTCAAACGCTTTTCTTAGGTCGATAGAGAGCCCCAGGGGATATTCATTCTTATCGAGAGCTGTATATATTAGGTCAAGCATTTGTATAATAGCATCATTCGTGCTTTTTTTTTTTTTGGTCTAAATCCAAGCTGGCATGGGTTAAGTATGTTGTTGGATGTCAGGTAGGAGTAAAGTCGCTTGTGTATTATTTTTTCAAATATCTTGGATAGTATAGGCAAGTTTGATATGGGTCTGTAATTGTTCAAATCAGTTGGATCTCCACCTTTGTGGATCGGGGTGACCCTTGCTGTCTTGAGTATGGATGGGAAGGTTGAGGAAGCTATAGATTTGTTAAACATTGTTGCAATAATGGGCAACAGTTCTGGTGCAGCTTTTTTATATATGAATGGTGGCAAGTTATCTAGATAACCTGATTTGTTTTTTAATGATTTAACGATGAGTGAGACTTCAGTGGGATTAGTTGGAGCCAGGAATAGAGTACTATTTGGATAGTTGCCAGTGAGGTACTCGCTCGGAAGGGTATTTGAGCTAGGAATTTGGCTCACTAGCTTTGATCCTATGGTAGAGAACCTGGAGTTTACCTGGAGAGAGTTCCGGGGGTCAACGCCCCCGCGGCCCGGTCTGTGACCAGGCCTCCTGGTGGATCAGAGCCTGATCAACCAGGCTGTTGCTGCTGGCTGCATGCAAACCAATATAGGAGCCACAGCCCGGCTGATCAGGAACTGACTTTTGGTGCTGTCCAGTGCCGCTTGAAGGGGCTGCAGGGTTTGTAAATAAAAAAG